ACACACACACACACACATCTCTCTCTGTCTCTATCTACTGCTCACTCACCCATCCCCCTCTTTCATTTTCCTCTCCCATTCTGCTTTTTCCACTTCCATTTCCACACCTTTCCTCCTCTTTTTTCTGCCTCTGCTCTTTTCTACTTTTTCCCTCCCCTCCCATCTCTTCCACTTCCTCCATATCTCTCTGTTTCTGTTTTATTCCACCACCTTATCTCTCTGGATAATGCTCCCCTGCTACGGAGTTTGTTTTCTCCCCTGCTCTGTCTTTATCTTCCGTTTCTTTGCCGTGTATGTGGAGTAGCATGGCGAGAGAGAGAGAGAGAGACAGACAGAGACCCGAAGAAGAGAGACAGCATCCCCATGTCAGGCCAATGATGGATTAGAATACTAAAATACTGGAGAGAGAAAGCAGACACTCTAGACACTCAAATCTGACATGGTGTGTGTGTGTGCATGCACTTTTGTGTGTGTAAATCTCCCGCACGGTAATAGAACAATAAAAAGAAGGCTTCTTTCCAAACACACACACACACACACATCCTAGTCCTCTCTCACGTTGGAGGCTTTCTTTCTCTAGCTTGCTCTGAGTTGATTTAATGCATGGCTTCTCTGCTTGTTTATTTCAGTACATATTAATGTAAATCACTGGTGCCCACTCCCTTCTCGCACTCACTCTCCGCTGTCCTCCTTTCTCCCTCTGTCCATCCCTCTTGCCGTCCTGCCACCAGGTGTCAGCCCCGATGACAAACAGTCGAGACAACAATTAAAATGAACAACGGGGTCCGTAAAAGGCCATCACTCTGGCCCCCGTCGGCCATGTCCATCACACACCCACCCTCCCTTGCTGATCTCAATTAACCCCTACTATTGGGTGGCAGGAGGTGGGGCTGTTGGGGGTGACCTGGCTATCTACAGGACAGAGAAGGATGGGTGGAGGGAATGATTCTGAGTTCAGAGCAATGTGCTCATTGCCCTGTGAGGTGATATTCTGTACACCATATGCTCACTTCTGTCAAATTTAAAAGAGAACTACCTTGTTGCTAGAGACGGAGCTCAGTAACCACTGCTGCTGCCCTTGAGCAAGGCACTAATGTTCACCTTCAAAAATAGTTCCATCTGCCAGCCTATGTGGAATGCATACAGTGATGATACTGGACATCAAGGCTCCAACCTTGTCACACCCCACAAGGAAATACCAAGATCACCAAAGCAGAGAGAGGGGAGTGACAATAACAACTTGTCCCCAATGGGAATGAAGACTCAGAGCTCACAGGTGGACGCTGGGGTGGAGGTAAGACTTTTGAAATGCAGTAGGAGAAGTGTCAGCATAGCTTTCAGGTGAGTGGAGTGGCAGCAAAAAACTGAGGGCAGCACTGACAGCTTCATGTGTCGACCTGATGAGCAGGGTGTGATAGATTTATCTTAAAGTGGGAGGAGTACGCCTGTGCTATGTTAGCAGCACACTTAATTTGACTGCTTGCAGATTTCACTTGTGTACACTCCCATTTTCAGTCAGTTTGAGAATTTGATGTGGTCACAGTTTTTCAATTACATTTATCACATTACCTTCATTTTCTAATAACTTCTTTCAAATACTGAAAAGCATAATTGTTGAAACATCTTAAAGACCTGATTACTCCAAAAACAGCTAAATTTAACTGTGCATTCTCACGAAAAGGATGGTGCTAAAAGACCAATAGTGTAGTGACTCTCGTGGCTAGGTGGCCAGCTGGTTTAGCTGGTGAGCAAACTGCTAGTCAGCCAGAAGCATGATTGGGTTTGTCAAGTCAAGCTAGGCCAAGCTAGCTGGCTTGGTATAGTAACTGTCAGTCAGTGTTATAGCACTCAGGTCCTGGTGTCCTGATTGTCAGGACTTGTGATTCGACTTATGAGGACCCGTACTTTTGTTGTTGTTGTTGTTGTTATGTTTTGTAATAGGGGTAACACGAACTTGACTTGCATTCCACTCGGACAATTATGTGGTTCCTTGAACTTGACTCAGACCCAAACACTGGGGACGCGAGATCCAACTTGGACTCAAGGTTTAGTGACTCAGCTACAACACATCTGTCTGTTAGCAGCAAGCTAGGTGACTTTGTTGTTACCTAAGTGATTTGCTTGGATTTGGTTCAGCTCTGTAAGCAGGCTGTGTCAGGCCTCCATCAGTTCATATCTCAGCCTTTAACAAATCTGCTCCGATGAGTCTTGTCTAACCAAATACCGCCAAACATTTTGGTTAATGGAGATTGTTGGAATGTTACACAGCCTGATGTCTGTATACATAAAGAGTAATCACAATATACTATACTAAAACATACAGTATAATCAGTAGAAATGGCAGAATTCTTTTTAGTTTAAATATAGGGCTGGGATTATTTGTCTCATGAAAGGACCATCAGTGTGTTCTCTCAGTACTCTCTGCCCACTGCTCTTACACTGAAGATGTAAATGTTTTAAAACAAATAAATGCTCAGTACAGCTGATTGCTGTAGTTTTAAAAAAATATATTTTACTTGAACTAGTGAACTTGTTGGGGGCTATTTTCAGTGGCGGATTAATTCACATTCTGTGTTCTGTCTAGCTTAATGAAAAACAACGGCGACATTTGCAGTCACTACAGTGAATGAATATTTCATTGTAATCAGTATTCTCTGTTAGATTACAGTGCCTGATTGCTGTTTATGACTCTTAGGTAATCGGCAAACTCCCCCTCACAGAACATCAGTATTTACTGCTCAGGCTGCAGAATGCTTAAAGATCAGGAGAGCCGACAGAGCTTCACTCTGTTTCTTATTGCTGTTTCACTGACTGACAGATGCTTTGTCTTAAGGGTTTGTTCAGACAGAAACACCTTTGAGTTGGCAGTTGTATGCAACAGCAGTGGCTGAGGTACAGTAAAAGAAAGAGAGGTTAAAATACACCACAGACCTGTCGCCTCTACCTCTCTGTCTCCATCCTTTCATTTCCTGTGGCTTCACAAAAAAGCCTTGTCCTCCTCTTTACCCTTTCTTCTTATCACCTTTATCTTTGCTCCTGCCTTCACTTTCAGTGATCCCCGTTTGTTTCTACCACTTTCTACATTCTTCCTCTCCTTCTGTTCTTCCATTTCTCTAAACGTTCTTCTTTCTCCTCTTTGTTATCCTGTCTTCCCAACTTCACTCTCCTCATCTCTACTCCATTCTTCTTTTCTCTCCTCATTTCCTTTCTCATTCCTTTCTTATTTCTCTCTCTCTCTGTTGCTATTTTCATAAGCTGTATCAGTTTCCTCTGTCTTTCTTGACTTTGGCCCCTTCTTTCCTTGTTCTCATCCTATGTCTCTGGCTGTCCTTTTTTGTTTATTCTCCTTCTTTGCTCTTCTTTTCATCCTCCTTTTCCATCTTCCTTCCTCTCCTTCTGCTCATTCCTCTTGGCTTTGTGTAGCCTATTCTTGATGTTCGTTTTTTTCTTCCATCTCTCACATCTTCTCTTTTGCTATTTCTTCTCTTTCATTCCCTTAGATTTATCGATCCCCTCATGTTTTCTTTGCTCCCTTCCACATTTCCCTCTTCTTATTCTTCTTCTTTGCCTCTAATTTTCTCTCTTGTTCTGTCCTCTTTTTCTTTCTCTTTCTTCTTCTTTCAATCCATTTGTCCTTATTTCTTTCCAGTTTATTTCCTACTTTGCTCTTTTCTTTCATGTTTCCACTTTTACCTTTTCTCTCTCCCTTCTTTAGTTTTCTCCTTTTTCTTCGCTTTTTGAAGCTTTCCTCTTCCCACTCCCTGTCCTCCAATCTGTCCTTTCTCCTGTTTCCCTCTCTTTTCTCCTCTCATCTCTTTCTTTCTCTTGATGTGCCCCCCTCCCGTCGCTGTCTGCCTCTCTGTCTCCTTGCCCTTCACCATCGCTTGTGCCCCTGCAGATGGAAGTAAATTTTACGCATTCCCCAGAAATAGGAAAGGAATGAGGAAAAACGGGGAAAAAATTGTGTCAGCAAAAGATTTATAAGACATAGAAAATCAAGAGCCGGCGATTCTCTCTGCTATGTTTTTGCTCCAGGGTCCTTTCTGTTCTCACTATACTGCACTATTTCTATTGCTGCCTGGTACCCCCACCTCCAGCACACACACACACACACGCACACACACACACCCCAGGAGCCTGTCAGATGATAAAGAGATGTTGCCAGGGACTGATTATCAGCCTCCCAACTAAGAACAAGTAAAACATCAAATGCACAAACAGCACACTGGGACTTGGCCTTATTTTTTCTTAATTTCTCCTCCGTACGTCTCTCTCTCCCACTTGCTCTCTAACTCTCTTCATTTTGTCTCTGTCAGTGTCAGAAGTAGTGTGTGTGTGTTTTTTGCCTGCTGGGGAGCTATTTGATTTGTTCTGCCGTTTTAGAGCTTATATTGTGTCTGGTGTGTTGTTTTTATTATGACGGCTTTATTCATATCGGTGCCTGTGGCTGTTCAGGTCCCAGTCCTGACTCACCAGGGAGGGAGATAGGGACAGCGATAGAGCAATAAAGCAAGAAAAGGCTGCATCGGCTCAATACACGGCCGGCAGTATGTGTGCAAATGTATGTGCGCATGGATGCCTATAGAGTATGTGTGGCTATGCTGACTTGGGTGGTAAAGATGAAGTGCAAGACTCAAACTATAGCAAAAAGCTTTATACAGTCTTCTTTGTAATCGTTCTGCCTGATCCCTGTGTGCACGCAAACACACACATCGCACACTTGGCACCTGATGTTCATTAAACAGTCAGAGACAAGTGTCATTTGTCATTCAATATGGCTGTGAAACAGGGACAGCAGCAGAGAGACGAGGATCGCTCATACATCACCAGGATCAAGTTTTACTGATGTATATCGACAAGCGCTGTTAGGGCGACCTGTGGACGGGTAAGCTGCAACTAGTGGGACAAATCATCATCCATCAATAAGTTAAAAGAGGAGGGAAAAACAGATCTGACTGCAGCCATGGGGCATTTGTGGGGTATCCGGACCCAAGCACTAGTGTGTACAACTGGTCTACTTTGACAGTGTTTGCTATAGGTGCTTTCCATTTTTGTTTTAAAATTAAAAAAGTTTGGAGAGTGGATGAGAATCATATACAGGATGTCCTTTTCAGCCCAGTTAGCTATATATATATGTTAGCATGCTAAAACTTTTGTAGCATTTGTATGCCCCATATGTTTTATTTGTATTTGGGCAACATTAAGAACGCACCACCCAGTTGATAAGTTTCAATAAGTTTGAAATAGATTGGAGCACGTTTCTTGACACCAACAATGTGACTATACTGCTAACATACATCTGATAATGGTGGCTGGTTGATGAATGAATATATTAACTGAATCCCTTTACATAAAAAGTAGTAAGTGATAAATAGGTAAATAAATTAAACTTGAAATATAATATTCCAGCAGTAGGTATCAGCATAGTGGTTATGTTTGTCTCTTGCTAAAATTTTAACGTTTCCTAATATGTTTGCACCCTAAAATGCCATGTTTGTTTGAACCCTAGCATGTGGTATGGTAACATGACCAGTAAATGGCATGTGGTATGTACAGAATCAGATTTAACATATATGCTATGTGGGTCCTTTTTTAAGCAGTAGCATTGCATTTCATCAATATATTTTATTTGTAATGAACTGCCAGTGATAGTGGCGTTGCAGCTATTTTGGCACCGGTTTATAGACATTTGGCGATTGATTTTTTTTCCCACATAGCTGTCAAAAATTCATGTCTACTACTTATGATTGAAATTAAAATGTTCTGCTCAGATGGTTTCATTTACTACTGTATGTGTGTGATGTGACAGACGCAACATTACCTACAAGCCAATGTTTTATCCTGCCAACACTTTGGCCTGCTAACATTTGCATGCTAACAAGTGAGCAAGCCACTCAAACTAATATAAAATTTCTGGACCAATGACAGGAGCCGCTACATTATGCTTATTGGTTGACGGGAGTGTGTGAATGCCCTTTCACAAATAGCTGCAGTCAGACCATGTTGACCAAAGTGCCATTTTCAAAGAAGGAGGGAAGGAAGGAAGCACAGTGAAGAATTGCGGGAATGCTACTGACAAAGGGTGAAGTCCATTTCTTCATTATGTTTCCAATAATTTTACAGGAGTCAGTCCAGGATTGTTGGCAGGTCCATTATATGAGCGTGGGTGCATGGGTGTGTGTGTTTGTGTGTATGTTCTCTATATCCTCTGTTCTACTCCCAGCTGAAGGATGTAGATAGGAGCAGCAGGAACAGTATTATGGGTTTAGCAGGGCTGGTTTTGAGGGATGCTGCACCCCCAGTCCCGAAGGAGCCCAAGTTGGAGATCGTGGCCCTCTCTGAGTACAGTTGGATGACGTTAATATCATCACCTTCATCTTCCTCCTCCTCTGTTTGTGTTACTTCCTCCTCATCCTCACGCTCCACCACCTGACAGGGAAGAGAAAATGTCAGTGAATGCGGGGTGGGGCCATTTTCAGACATTTTCACATTTTATAGTGTTAAAAAAGCAGCAGATACACATGCACCTAAACTGTCATATGTTAAATAGTGAGGATCATGTTTGACTTGTCTAAAATCTGTTGCAGATATTTATGCCTGGTATTCATGTTAAATGTGGTAATTCATAATTTGCATAAGAAGTGGATTATAAAAGAAACTTCAAATAAAACAAAGGCCTTTGGGCTTTGGACAAAAGGGGCTCTGCTGGGAGAACTAATCCACGATTTGCTTATTTGTCTGTGCCACAGAGCTCCACCGTTGTTCAAAATCAATAAAAAATACATGCGAGCTCTCTACTTTGTTTACAATCTACTAGCTCCTCGTGCTTTCATGGAGAGCTCGTGCATGGGCAGTTGAGTCTTGCTTGCTTCAGAAGCTGTAAAAAGTTGTTGGGAGCTTTGGGGGAAACACTTTTAACAGTGATGCAGGTCTAGTGTTTTGTAATGAAGCAACATGTCAACCAATGCAGCAGTGTGTTTCACTGATGTGTTTTTGTGGAGGTCTGTGGCACAAATGAATAAGATAATCCAGGTTAGAGATCAGACATGAACTGCAAGTACATGATCAGCCTTATCTTATAAGGATAATAATAAGGATAATCACCTTTATTGGCCAAGTATGTTACACACAAGGAATTTGTTTCTGGTACAGAAATAAATATGAATGGCCGAAATTATAGCACCTAGGGAGGAGGTTCTCTTTCAAATATGTATTATTTGGTCTATATTTCCTGTCTAGTTAGCAAAACTACAACTGGCACCACTACCCATACCAACAGTTGTGGCCTCAATATAGCTAGCTGTTTGTTTCTATACTACCTCTCACCTTTAAACTTGTCACAAATACATTTCCAATTGTAATATATAATTAAGAACTATTCCCTATTCCCCCCACCCCGCATGAATATGACAGGTGGGGAGTAAATAGTTAAAGTTGTATGTAATTAACCAAATCACAAGATAAATGTAACTGAAATCAGTTAAAAGTTTCCTTCTGAAATCAGGAAACAACTCTAATATTATAGAACAGTGTAAAGTTTGTGTAACCAGTAACGCGTCGGCACTGAAATGCGTCAAACCTGAGGAAGCATCTACAAATAGCTTAACCACAATCACTCACATAAACTACAAAATAACATGGCCCGCCATGTTATTTGTGTGTTCAAGATAAAATTTAGCTCTATATTTTGCTCGGTGCCCGTCTGGTAGGCCACATATTTTTAGGACTTTTCACCTTTTTTGCCTGGTTTAAAACATTTGGCAGAAAAGTAATCCAAAAGAAATCAAATGTAATAAGTTACTTCTGTGAAGTAAATTGTTACATTATCCATTACTTACCCTATTAAGAGGGTAACTAGTAATGTCTAACCTATTGTATTTTAAAAGAAACTTTCCCAACACTGATGACTGGACAGTACCTATCAGCTGGTAGCCAAACAGCTGATGAATGAAAGAGTGATGCCAAACATGACTTGCACACTCTTAACTAACGCTACAGTCCTTTAGACCGACAGAAATCAGTTATAGACCGACTGCATGATAAAAATGTTGTCATTTAATATAACCTGGGGTTTTCAGAACCCTCCACTATCAGAATTTCATTTTTTGCAACCAGAGCCCATGATACAGATTCCAGTCCAATATAAAAAATAAGTCACTGGTGTCATGTATTTTATCACGTTTAAGGTTACAATCATACTTTTTTAAAATGTGTTTTGGTTTGTGGTTGACATGAGCATGTTTGTTTTGCTATTCAACATGTTGTGCTCATCACGAGAATTTTGTGTTTAAAACTTTAAAGCTGCTGATGAATATCATTCACTGCAGTTTTATGAGTGTTGGGTGGTTAGGATGCCCAGATGTTCATCCTCAGAGTGATATGCACCAACATCTGGAAGGGCCCAAGGCCTGTCCTGTGTTGCTGTGCACAGATTGTTCTACTGATAATGATACTCTGCTTTATCATTTCATTTGAATTCTGCCTCTGATACATACTTGCTGTAAGCAGTTTGGATTTTCTGCCTGCCACTGTTTGACTTCATTTTAACTTTGCATCATCTAGTCTCACTGTTGCAGAAGCTGTAAACAAGGCAGTGATGTTGCTGTCCTTCAGGGTGCAGACACAGATCACAGTTAGGTTATTTTCACTTCTGAATTCATGTGAAAATAATTGAGTTCATTAGTAGTGAAACAGAATCTAATACAAACTGTGGATAGTGTTTGTCAGTCATACATGAGGGAATGTTAAAAATATTGTCTGACCAGAGGAGAAAGCACCTTCTTTCTGAGCTTACATTACCCTCCAGTCTGCACAGTTATTCATAGTCACTATCTTTTATTGAGGATCTTGTGATTTTTCTTTTGATCTGCTACTTTTATGACTTATTGGTGAGGGATGTAAAAACCCTCCTGAAGAATATTAATGATATTTCTCTGACAGTAATTAGAGTAAAGAGAACAAACTTGGGTTATTTTTAGGACCAGCTTAAGTCCAGAAAACATATTGTATACAGTGTTGTTACAGCTTGTTTAATATCAGTGTTTGTTGTGAGTTGTAATGTTCAGTCGTTGCAATAAGAATATCTTACCTGTATAAGGAAAACCATACTAGCACAGGTGTAAATCAATGCAAACGCATTGCTACAGCCTGTGCTGTGAATTGAAAAAAAAAAAAACTAGTTTTCAGAAGCAAAACTGTTTATAACTGTTCCCAACACCTGCAGTCACAGTGATAAACCATACATGATGACTCTTTCTCGAAGGAATTCATGGTGGAACATGAACAGGAAAAGAACATTAAAGGGAACGAAAGAGTAAGAAACCAGCTACTCTCACAAGCCCTCAATTTTTGAACCTGCCTCCTGATGTGAACTGGTTGAAGGTGTGCTCACTGTCTCATCTGTGAATCTCTGTGATCTATGGTTTTCCAAAACTCCCTTCTCTGCGTAGGTATGCAGAGATGTCCAGTGTATCTTCAGACAAACAGAATTCTAGCTGTTTGATGACCCGTTCAATCGCGATCAAGAACAAGAAGACGCATTAATACCAGATGGAAATGCAAAGGCTTATGACCAGATGTCATTATGCAGATGCAGATCATATTTTAATAACAGCTTGAACTATGGTTTTAAATTATATTTGTTAATTGCATTATAGATTGTAAATACATATCATGGAGTGTTTTTGTCTACTAATGATCAAATTCCAGTTTTTACACCGACTGGAATGGCCCTTTTTTTTTTTTTTTTTAAACAATCAAAAACCAAATCAGCCAAATTATTTTTTATACTCAAATATAATTCTTATATGTATTCTGCCTGGCTTCACACTTGGAAAAGCTTTCAGCCATGTCAAAACAAAATGAATGTCTTTGTAAATGAGAAAATTAACAAGCTGCTGATATGGAAGATGACATCAAAAACTCCAGCTCACAAAACATTTGATTGCATTCTTTGTGGAAATGTAACATTTAATACAAAGAGCAGTCATTTGTGCTTCTAAAATGTGACATTTTCTTCCCCCCCACCATTGCCGGAGTGGATACTTTTTTGAAGTGAAACCTTTCAAATTCTGGAAAAATCGCTTTAGAGGAACAAGCAAAAGCTGCTTGGAGAGACAAGATGAGCATCTGACTGGCAGGTGGATGAGGTGATGTGGAGCAGGTATGGGTGGAGGAGGGCAGGGATACAGTGAAGGGTTGAAGACTAAATGAAATGAGAACAGTAAGAAAAGAGTAAATGACTAAAGGAAGAAAAGGTAGGACAGAGGAATTGAGTTAAGGACAAAAGGAAGAAAGTAAGGATGAAAGGGGCGATTTAGGGGAAAAAAGCGGGGGGAGACATATGGGCATGAATAAATTCATACTAATGAAGCCTGACTGATGCACTGCTTCCAAACAACACCTCATCGAATCCGCTCCCTGAGAGAGAGATTGAGGAAGAGAGAGAGTTGGAATCCCCTCTTGTCTGGCAGCCCAGATTATCTCTGGCAGTGAGGCATGCTGGGAGTCAGGGAACCACAGCTACAGCAGATTGTGGTCTGGCCAAGGTAACAGCAGCCAGGGCCACGATTGGATTGGACCACATTTAATGGTCAGAGTTGGACAAGGGCAGCCAGGAGCTATGGTGCTCTCATAACATATGTGTTCACAGCAAATTTCAGCACGTCAGTGTGTTTGTTACTGTCTGCACATTACTGAGCTGGCACTTTCAAACAGGACTGAAATCAAAACAATTCAGAGCCAAGGCTTGACTGTGCACCACAGACTGTGTGAAGCCTGATAGGCTGGTAGGGAGAAATTAAATGGGACCCGGTCAGGACAGTTGAACATTTGTTTGCTCATAGCTGAGGTCTAACCCTGAACCCACCAGTAGCCACCTGCTGACGACCAAATTGCAGTACCACGTGTCTGGGTTATGAACTAAAGGACAACTTGCTGAGATTGGAGTATTTTCAAGATCAAGATCAAAGATTTTTATTGTCAATTCACTGTATGTGCAGGACATACAGAAAATCAAAATATGGTTTCTCTATCACCTAGTATTGAATGCCATTACCATTTAGGAAACTAAAATAAAATAAAAGTAGAGTAGAAATAGACTAAAAACAATAAGAAAATAAAGTCAAGGTGATTAGGATAAAGCTAAACAGTATAACCTAATAGGCTATGACTCAAACATGTACAATCAGTGACAGTAGTGCAAATAATAAGAAGATTGTCAGATGGTTGTGGGATTGAGATGCACATGGACAGTGGTGCAAATGACCAACAGCAGCAGATATGATGGTAAAACAGTCAGCAGCAGATTACATGTAATATAACAAGAAGGGGGAATGTACTGGGTTTGTGCAAAATGTTCTGTGGTGGGTCACAGTCCAGGGGCAAGGGGGGGAGGTAATGGACAGCGTTCAGCATCCTCACAGCCTGGA